CCCACGCATAGCCTAGGAGACCCAGCAACCACATCAGCAGAGAGCTGTGTTCAGATACCACCTTAGGAGAGAGCAGCAAACCAGATATTTCTTACCTTCCCAGGTCATCAGAGAAATTGATTCCTTCACTCATTTTCCCTCCAACCACAGAAAAGAGCAGGGCCCCCATCACATGGCCTCCCACCTGGCTGCAGCGCTGCACAAAAGAACCCCCAATGACTCAGGAGACACCGGAGCTGTGGAAACTTCTGTGCATTGGCAGCACAGAGACCTGTCTACATTGGCCAGAGCAATTAACCACCCACATCACCTGCTTTAGAAATACTCTCTTGCAATATGGGGTATTGAACGTCCAGCAACCTGCCAACCCTGCTTACCTTTATGCACTTAGCGTACTCTGCCAGCACCTGCTCCACCTGGTTTGCTCTCTTGGGCTCCTGAAATATCTGTCACAGGCACAAAGCATAAGTTGCAGCAGGAAGATGTAAATAGATTCAATGGTGCCATTCCAAAACTAACACAGAGAGGAGGGTCTAGAGGCATGTTACCATTGATCTCTAACTGATGTCCAACTATGCTCCCTGGTTAAGCAATGCAGACACATCCTAATGGTACCTTACTCAGCACCTGTGGGACCTAGCAAATCCAGAGTAGAAGCAGTGATGGCCATTAGTGACTTTGGAGACAATTCCAGTTATTGAGATGTTAACCAGGGTTTTTTTCTTCATGGGTCCTTGCTCCCAGATCTCTACTGTTTGAAAAGTGGAAAGAAACATCCATGTAAGAGGACAAAGGGAGAGTGAAGATCTGGGAATTCAGGTGTAGCAAGAGGGTAACAAAGCTGGAAGAGATCTCCAGAACTAGTATGATAATTTATAGAACAGTAGCACTCCGGTGTGACTAGGACCCATGTGTGCTGATGCGCTGTACAAACAATATAAGAGAGACAGTCCCTGCCCAAGGGAGATTAGAATTGAAATAGGGTAGGAGGGGAAGCAGAGTTCTAGAAAGGTGAGGTGATTGCCAATTCAGCTCCTGAGGAGCAGTACAGGTCTGTTTCTCACGATATAGCCTCCTGAGCATTGTTCAGTCCAGTTTTAAATTGCACAAGCAGGAAAGCTTTGTTATCAGAGTTCACTGTTCAGAAAGGTTTCCTCATATTCAGCCACTTTTCTTCTGTTCAGTTTCATTCTATTACTCCTGGATATACACCCTTTGTACCATGCTAAAACATTGAACCTTGAGATGTAGGCAAGTAGTATCCCCATTTTACAGAAGTGGCAGACAGATTAAGTGACTTGACCAAGATTACATAGTGACTCTGTGCCACAGTCGAGAACAGAACACAGATTTCTTGATCCTCAGCCTTGTGCTTTAACCAGAAGACCCATTCATCCTCCCAGTAAACCCACAGTGAGCTGAAAGCTTGTGTGTAACTGACAGTGTATAGTTGAATCGTAGGGCTTGTCTTCGCTACCAGGGTAAGCCAACCTACGTTTTGCTACTCCAGCTACGTTATTCACGTAGCTGGAGTTAACATAGCTTAGGTCGACTTCCCCCGGTGTCTTCAAGGCGCTGCGTCAACAGGAGACACTCTCCAGTCGACTTCCCTTACTCTTCTCGGACAGCTGGAATACCGGGGTTGACCGGAGAGCACTCTGCCGTTGATTTAGCGGGTCTTCGCTAGAGTGAAGACAAGCCCTTAGTCAATCACACTATTCCCTGGACAGGGGATGTGCAGCCAAGTCTGGGGAAAGCAAATCCCCTGTAAGAACTTAATAAACCTGCCCCTCACAGCAAGGGAATCAGAGAGCATTGTAGGCTGACTAATGCAGATGAAGACAGTCTCTGCATTTACAGGAGCCATGTAACAGCATTTAATCTAATTTAGATCCCAGCTCAGTGATCAGCCGCGTGGGAAGAATCATTTATTCATTACTGGAGGGACTGGCTAGATAAACATTCTCTCTGCTCTGCTGTGCAGGATCGAAGAACAATTTGGGGAGAGAGAGACAAGGCCTGTAATGTGCAGATAATTGTTGGACTTTTGAAACCTCCGTTTAAAGTACCAACCACCCTCAGTTACACAATTACCTTCTTCTTAGTCGCCAAGCGGGTGAGCAGCCCCGTCCTCTCCCAGTGCGTGTACACCTGCTTCTCATACTCATAGGAGGGAAAGAAGCACACCACGCCCCCAGGGACCACATTGCACAGGTTACCAAGGATTCGGCCCATCTCATCCATCTGTAAGAGAGGAAAGACTGGTGTCTGCTGGGGCTTACCATGGCACTACCATGGCCTAAGGACAGATGCCTCCCACTGACAAGTCTTAGGACACTCGTGTAGCCACTTCCACATAGAGAAATCAGTGCAGTGTTAGCTCACCAACAGTTGCCTAGAGGCACTAGTTGGCTCCAGGGCCTGGGAATGAACATGCTCCCTTTCATTCCTCGGTCTCCCCGTCTTAAGCCGCAGTCTCGAGTCATTGTAAAGCAATGGCTGTTTGGTGCGTCTGTGAAATGAGCTAGGAGGTCTGTCCATTTCCCAGGGAAATGTGTCTGCTTCACACCCCCGGAATGATGGCGAGAGCTCACTGGCAGCTCTGTTAGCAGGTTCAACTAAGGACTGAATGGGCCAGAGGACTGATGTCTCACTCCTAGGGCCCCTCAAAGGCAAAGGAGGATGGGGAAGCTTTCGCTTCACGCTCCAGGCCTGTCAAGTCAGCTTTCACTAGCACTAAACTCACTTAAAATGGCTTAACAAAACCAGACCACCTCCAATATGCCTGCCCCTGAGCCCCTCCACAACTGGAAGCTCCCCTGCCAATCTGCACACCCCTCTGGACTTATTTTTCCCATCTTGGAGCCCACCAGAATCCCCCACTCTGCACACAAAACGTCCCCTTGAACCATCAGACCGCATAGCTTAAGAATGAAATAGACGTGCTGACCATCTGAGGCAGGTCTCTCTTCTGATAGGTGAACTCTAGCTGCTGGTTAGATGGACCACTGCAGAGGATTATGGGTAAAATGTTGTCTGGAGGAATCACATGACCTGATGACAAACAAGTAGACGGAATAAAAGCTACAGATGTTCAAGCAAAGCAAGCTAACAGTGCAAGGCCCCTGGGAGTAGGTCACATGCATGTAGCAGCACAGGTACACATTCATTTCTCTTGGTCTGGGGGAGTGCAAGCAGCTTTAGCACAAGCCTGTCAATGCCTTTTAAAGAATCACACAAGCCGTAACCTGGTTCGAATCATTCCCTGCCCATTCTCTCTGGGGCAGAGGAATACAGTACACCCCTAGCAGCCAGAGGTGAAAGGGAACCTGGCTGCCCTCTGCTGCTGTGATTTCCAGGCAGGATGTCGGGGCACTAGAAGGAGCTGGCAAACAAACAAGTCAATGGCATCTGCCTGAACTCCCATACAGCTGAACTAGGGGCCCAGCTACAGAGAGAGCATGTGACCAGCTCCCCGACACTCACCACAGGAGAACTCCACCACCCTGTCAGCACCGATGGCACAGGACAGCAACTGCTCTCGGAAATCAGACACCTACAAACCAGGAGCCAAGAAGAATCAGCAAAGCCCAAGTACTCTCTCATCAGGAGATGGGGAAGGGCTGCAGTCAGCACACGGGTGGGAGGACCAGATGCAAGGATGGAGGAGGAGGAGTCAGGCCAATGGTTTGGGGAAATGGACAGAGGGAAGAGATGTGCTGGGTACTTGGTGCAGGTGTGGGGCCCCGAAACACAAGGGCGCACAGAGGGATGAACGGATGCAGAAATACTGTAGGTGCAACTCTGGCCTCAAACCAGAGCTGTACCCAGGGGAGAGGGATTGAATGGCAGGTAAATTCTGCAATTCCACAGCCAGCACAGCTGCACCATCCCACGCTGCAATTAAAGTTTCTCCAAGTCCTTGGGCAGGACCCTCTGCAGGGCAGGGGGAACCATTGGTTTCTAGGCAGGAAAACAGAGAACCCACAAAGCATGGGCTGAAACAGCAGCCAGCCACCTCCACAGCTTCCTATGGCCAGTGCTAGTAGGTGCAGAGCAGGAGCGCCACCTTGTGGTCCAATAGCCTCATCCTACTAGTCCAATGCTCTTTTTAGACACAGCCATCCACAGCGTATGTTGTGAGCAAGGCATTCGGTCTAGCTTTCCGAGCTTGGGTCCGCCTCTTTGATCAGGGACCCAACTCCTAGTACCACAGCACACCTCTTCCACTCCCCTGCCTTGCCATTTACGGGAAACAGACTGAATACCTTCCCTGGGCTGGTAGTTATGGCGGGAGGAGGATCCAGACAGCAGGGTACAACAGTCTGCATGTGTTACCCTTGCAGTGCTCAGGGGGCATGTCTCGCAGGGTCACTACGGCAACTGGGTCTCGCGCAAGGAAGCCCATCACGCCAGACCTCCCACGAGCCAAGCTCATGCCAAGAGCAGAACTGTGACAACTACGGGGTTTGATGGGTGGCTGGGTGGTGACTTTCCCAGAGGGATACCAAGGGAGAATCATTATTTTACTAGACAAAGAGGCCCTATAGCCAGCACCCTCCCTTCCTTTATTAGTCTCCACAACAGCAAAACGACCCTTCAGTCACTGCAGGCAGCACACACTACATGAGGAACCCTTGGGGTATGTCTATGCTGCAGTTAGACACCCGTGGTTCAGGCTGCAGGGCTGTTATATTGCAGTGTAGATTATGGGGCTCAGGCTGCAGCCTGAACTCTGGGACCCTCCCATCTCATGAGCCCCAGCCTGAGTCCGAACGTCTACACTGCAACTGAACAGCCTCTTAGCCCGAGGCCCGCAAGCCCGAGTCAGCTGCAGTGTAGACTTACCCCGAGAGTCTTTAGTCCCTGGTCCCTCCACATGACTTTACCCACAGAGAGCTGCAGCATGGGAACCACTCCCTCTTCTCTGGTGTGACCGTGCCAGTGGCTTACACTCACCCAATGGAAACGACTGAGCTTCGGTAAAATTAAATGAGCAAACTGGACTATCTGGCATGAGCAGTGATCTAACAGAACCCCTGTGCCCCCCATGCAGGTGCACACCAAGAGGGAAACAGGAATGTGCTGTCACTCTGAGGTATGCACACCTACATACCATGGGAAGAAGGGCTAGAGAGAAAAGCCTAACATGGATGGGTCGTGCACACCACTGTGGCACTACTGAAATCCTGATTTTTCTGGAAGGTCCCTCTGGCAAGATCAGCATTATAAGATCGGTCGGAAGATTTCTATCCAGTGCTAGTTTTGAGCTGCACTCAGCCTGAGGGACTGGATCAGACCACATAACTCAAAGGGCAATCAGAGATATCTTGAGGGCTGGGAGACTTGACCCAGGGCATCCCACCTTTGTGCAACGTTAAGCCACAGCCAGGCATTCAGCCAGGATGAGACGTCTAATGGAGAGACCACTCCGAGGAGTTACGACGTCTGAAGGCGTTCAGGTGAGTATCCTCCCACGCAGGAGGCACAGCAAAGGGGGTATTAGCACACCCATCCCTAGCAGTTCAAATGGACAGCGTGTCAGGGAGACTGGGTCCTGCAATGCTTGTACTGTCAGGAATTGTTAATCCTGTAGCTACCTCACGGGGAATGGCGCAATGGGACAGAGGAGGGTTTTGCTTGGTGCCTACAATGCTTTTCTTTTGCTGCTGAGAGGAGCAATAAATGAAGCATGGGCACAGCACAAAGTCCCTAGGCCTCATGCTAATATGCAAAGAGACTGCCATCTTTTCCACGCCGCCAGGAGGATGGAAAAGCCGATTCCCAGCTGGATCACTGCAATGGGGGCAGCATGGAGCAACGTGCTAAAATGGGGTGGGAATACATGGCTCTAGTGTTGCTTAGCGGTTCATTGGTGTATTTCAGGGGTAGGCAACCTATGGCACGCGTGCCGAAGGCAGCACGCGAGCTGATTTTCAGTGGCACTCACACTGCCCGGGTCCTGGCCACCAGTCCGGGGGGCTCTGCATTTTAATTTAATTTTAAATGAAGCTTCTTAAACATTTTAAAAACCTTATTTACTTTACACACACAACAATAGTTTAGTTATATATTATAGACTTATAGAAAGGGACCTTCTAAAAACGTTAAAATGTATGACTGGCACGCGAAACCTTAAATCAGAGTGAAAAATGAAAATTCGGCACACCACTTCTAAAAGGTTGCTGACCCCTGATGTATTTTAAAGCATCCCAATTACAACCAATATCCATCTCCTCCCACTGCTGCCTGTGGATTGGCAGAAGGTGAGATAGGCCAGTTAGATCTTAAAGAAGCAACCTTGCTCCCTCACCGGCTGCATGGTGCCCCCTGCAATGATCGCAGAACGACATTCCTTCAGCACCTTGGCAAAATGGATAGCTGGATTCAGCAGGAGGAATTTGAGGCTGCTCTGAGCTACAGTGCCTGGGTAAAGAAGACAAACAGACACACACACCTTAGTAGAACACCCATGATTATCAGCAGACCACCTTGTGAGGGGAAATCCCACTTTCAAAGCAGGAGCAGAGTGCTGCAGGGCCCATCTAAATCATTTACACCTGGGGGGATTCTGCGCCAAAAAATTAAAAATTCTGCGCACAATATTTTAAAGTTCTGCATATTTTATTTGTCAAAACAACACAATGTCATCACACCAGTTTCAATTATTGTGGTAATTTATTTCAAAATACCTGTCAGCAAGTATGTCTGTAATAATACAGACAACAACAAAAAAATCCCCCAGGAGTAGAGAGTTAAAGAAACCCCGATGACAACCCAGTTCCTGTTTCTCTGCTCTTTCGCCCCAGAGCCCAGCAGGGGGGGCCAGACACTCACACTCCATCCCCCACTGAACCCAGCCACAGAGCTCCTAGAGCCCAGACCTCCTTCCCCCAAAATCCCAGCCATGGGGCATCCCCCAGCCCAGACATCCACACCCCCTTCTCCCCCAGAGCCCAGCTGCGAGGAATCCCACAGCCCAGACTTCCACACCTGCTACTCCTCAGAGCCCAGAGGGAGAGAAAGCCTGATGCTGGGTCCCAGACTTCTGTGGAGTTTCCTGCACACCACCTCCTTCCCTCAGGGAGTGCTGGGAACCGCAGCTGCCGGGAACCCTCCAACTCCCTCCCTGTCACCCCAGCAGTGTTTTCTATCTTCAGGCTGAGGAGCTGGGCTCTGCCAGGTCTAATGGCCCCTAGTGGCGGCCAGCAGCTCTGCAGCCTGTTTCTGCGAGGGAAAAAGGAAATTATGTGCAGAACATTAATTCTGTGCAAATTCCCCCAGGAGTAATAGTTTGGATGGCCAGCTCCAACGTCAAGTGAGTGACTCTGCCAAAGTTTCTCCTTGAGCTTCATGAGAACCCTACATAGACTACTTGTCTCTGGGAATGAGGCCCTTCCAACAGAGGTCTCACATTCCTGCAGGACCCTTCAGCTGGTACTAATTATTTATGTTGCTCCCAGGCACCAATCCAGCAGCACCCCATGGTGCTAGGTGCTGTGTATACAATGCTGCACAGAGTAAGAGACAGCCCTATCTCTTACAATGCAATCTAAGGCTTACAATCTAATTATACTTAAATTTCTAAGTCTCCCATCAGTGAGGTGTCTAGGTACTAGCCAGTGGCTTTAACGCTGCTTTGCTTGAGCCTCGTGAGTGCTCTTCACTCCAGTACCTTGCCGGTTGAGGATGACTCTCCCATCTTGGTTTGCATTGGTGAGAGCAGAGAGAAATCCTTCAATCTGCATCAGAGGAGATGCCATCTTGGGCTGGCCATCCTCAGCCTCCACAGGATGGCACTGAATAGCAGCTGCAGGTCAAAAGAGAAAGGAGGGGTTGGGGGGAAGTCACCCAATCAATGGTTAGGTTTCATTCCCAGACGAGTAAGAATGCAAGAGCAAAGGCCTGGTCTATATGTAAAATTTAGGTTGAAAAGCTGATGGCACTCAGAGATGTGCAAATCCCCACTTCTGAGCGCTGAAGCTACGGCGACCTAACCCCCAGTGCAGACACAGCTGGGTCGATAGAAGAATGCTTCCGTCAACCTAGCTACTGTTGGTCCAAGAGGTAGAGTTCTGAGAGAGACAGACAACCCCTTCCATTGCCATACACTGCATCTACCCTCGGGGATTATGCTAGTTTAGCCACGGTGCTAAGGTGGCTTAAGGTGTATACTATGGAACACATGCCACTTCCTTGAGGAAAGGAACAAATCTTTCCAGATAAATAGCACCCACTCTGGCAAACAGAATAGGTAGAGTAGGGAACCCAAATTTCACCTTCCTCATGGCCTACTCCTCCCTTGCTTCACTTGCTTTCCTAAGGCAGCTTCTGCAACACGTGTCTTCCTCCCCGGGAGACAGCTCTGAAGCCAAGTTCATCTCCCCCCTTGGCCCATGTAAATGCAAGCTCCACCGCCTCTTTACCCTGCATCTGAACTCACCTTCTTTGTCTGGCCCCTGATGCAGGGTGAGAAGGAAGTTCTGCAGTCCAGCCATGTTCTGCTTTTCCTTGTTAGTCTTTACAACACTGGTGGCTCCATATCTCTCCACAAACCCAAAAAGCTGCCACGTAAATAAAGAGCAGGATTTACAAAGGATACAAACGCACTGACAGCACGTCACATACAAAGGCCCTCATTGAATGTTATACACCTGTTACAGAAGCCAGACACTGTGGCATGTCTCAGTGCTTCCCAACTCTTCTAGCCGGAGCGTCTTCCCTCCCTTGAATCAAAACTTAATGCTCGCCCCTTCCACACGACGCAGCCTCTAGGGATGGCATGTTTTACAGAGTCCCAGAAAAGGCAGTGCAGAACTAGCACTGTATTAGCGTTCCAGTGCTTACTAGCTGCCATACACTGTGAATGTCAAATACCCAGCACAGTTGGGGACACTTGCAGGGGTCATTTTGTAAATCAGAGGAAAGCATAATAAGCATACAGAGGAAAGCAAGAGGCTTACAGCCATATGCCCAGCTGCTATGCTCTTTCCCCTTTAAATGCCAGACTGCCCCTTGTCCTTGAACTAGACGGGGCTGAATGTCCTGCCATGTTGGTTAAGGAGCAGTGGGGAAATACCTTCCTGCTGATCAGACTTTTCTCACAGTAACGCTGAACCTGTGGGAGGAAGAGAGAGTGCGTGTTAATACTCAAAATCCCCTTCCCCATCCTGCAGCCCCCCCTGCTGGACTATTATCCCTTTCTCACCCCCGCAATCTCTCCTCCAATAGCAATGCTGGGAGAGAAGTGCAGTGTAATATTAATGGCCTAACGTGAGCTATACTTTATTATAATTGCAGCTAAATGACTTGCTAGGTTCCAGAATAAGTGTGTTCTTCAAACCCAGTGACCTAAGAACTCCTTAATGCCAACTAGCAAAAGGCACACCCAACACACTGTTATCAGAATATTTAGCCAAACAGTGAGGTATTGTGATGGGTGGACTAGTTCCTACGCCCACCCGCAGCTGGAGGCCTTGAGGCCCTGCCACACCACACCCCAGAAAAGGGCAGTGGAGTCCTCCAAGCTGCCTAGAGTGGCGGTGTGGGACACAGCCAATCACAGAAGGTCTGCAGAGAACAGCCAATCCAGGCCCAGCCAGCAGGCCCATATAAAAGGAGCTGCAATGCAGAGCGGCAGAGTTCAGTTCCGTTTCTTCCTGGAGCTGGAGGAGCGTGAACAGTGTGCCTGGCTGTCTGAGGGAGCTACAGGACCTCAGACAGAGCAGTGCTGGCAAAGACTGGGGGGAGCGAGAAGGAGCTCCGGGCTGGCGGCTGGGACTCAACCAGGACAAGGCCCTGAGGGAAGAGTGAAGAACGTGCTGGGGCACAGGGAAGTGGTCCAGGGAATCCTAGCAACAATGCAGCTTAGTTAAAGGGACATGGCGGACTGCTGCTATCTATAGGGTCCCTGGGCTGGGACCTGGAGTAGAGGACAGGCCTGGGTCTCCCCCATCAGCCACTGGGAAAATGGTCTGGACTTGATGAATCCCAGAAGAGGAACTGAACTCTTTTAGTGGCTGAGCAGGAGAGATGGGGCCCGAAAGGCCCAAAGAGGGTGAGGACATTGCCTCCAGGAAGGGAGCTGCAGGAGTACAGCTCAATACCAGGGCTAAGGCCATTTTAAAGACTGCTGGATTAATTAAGGGCCTGAGTCCATGGAAAGAAAGGCCAACCAAGGGTACTGGGATAGTCCCCCCCATCAGACTGTTTCCTGGAAGGGGTTTTTATTTCACATGCAGACAGAGAGACTCGGCCAGAGGGCTGAGTCACCGAAGACCCCACCTCAAACAGAGAGAGTGCAGGCACACGCATTCGGACAGGGGGCGCTTGGGAGAGGTGAGTGCGACTCCGTTACCGGTATCACGTAAAAACTGGTAACACGCAGGTCATTAATTGCATTTTTCCATGATGTCTGTACAGAGTTATGTATGTGCGCTGGAAATATGTTCCTAAATACCTTTTGGGGGCAGACTTGATAAACAAGCTTGCCTAAGACAAAAGAATGTTTTTCCTGTTTGCCTGGGTCTCCGGTAAATTGCGTAAGCCAAGGCTAGAGACAATGGAAGTTACATTTATATAGGAATCAACCAGGCATCAGGAAGAGACAAACAGCAGGAGAGAAGAACTTTATCTAGGGACACACTTCAGAAGAATCCCTTTCTTTAGTTCAGTAAACCCTTGAAATGTAGAGAACCCTTAGTTATCCATCACTAAAGGGAGAAGAGGCTGGCACTCTTGGAATCTGTTAAAGGTGGATCCTTCAACCTCATGGATTGAAGATGCAGGGGACTGTAGGTGAGAAATTGCCTGAGACCAGGATTGTAAACTGTTGAGTTTTAGATGCTAGAAAACGTATTTTTACTTATTTAGCTTGTAACCATAGCAGTCTTTTTCTCTTGCTTAGTAACCCTTAAGTCTATGTTCTTTATTAATAAATTTATTCTTGTTTTTATTAATGAACCATCTCAATGCTGCGTACTAAGGGAAAGAGCGTCCTCAATGAGCCAACAGGAGAGACAGCAGACTTAATAAATTCTGTGAAGGCCCAGTAAGAGGGACTGGACACTGCAGAGACATATCTGGGGAACTGGGGCGTGTTGAACGTTACCTGCAAAGCAAGGTTAAGACTGGCAGAGTCTCAAGACAATTGCTGGTGAGGCTGACAGAAGTGGTGTGGCAGGGAGCGGATACATTCCAAACCCCAGCAGAGCTCCCCCTGGCTTAGTTCTGAGCAGCCTAAGGAGAGCATCAAAAGCCCCACACGTATAAATAACCCTGCTTCACCAACAGATAGCCCACCTCCACTCGTGTGTTACTGCCATGGCTTGAGACTACACTCCCTGGGTGCACACAGCTTTAGCATGCTGCCATAGCCAACGTAAAAAAATACCTTCTAAGGCTACGTCTTCACTACCCGCCTGAATCGGCGGGTAGAAATCGCTCTCTACGCGAGAATCGATCCCCGAATCAACGCTTGTACTCCACCAGCGCAGGTAGGAGTAAGCGCCATCGACGGGGGAGCCGCGGAGGTCGATTTGCCGCCGTCCTCACAGCGGGATAAGTCTGCTCTGATACGTTGAATTCAGCTACGCTATTCGCATAGCTGAATTTGCGTATCTTAAATCGACCCTCCCTCCCCCGTAGTGAGGACATAGCCTAAGACCAACTGGGGCAATGGAGAGAAGCTGGCAGGAAGTAGGCTAGTGTTCTGAACAAAGCATAGGACCAAGTCAAGACATCTGGGTTTTATTCCCAGCTCTGCTACATGCTTCCTGCTTGACCCCCACCAAGTCACTTTACCCCTCTGTGTCCTAGCAGAAGACAATCCTCACACTACCTTGAAGAGGTTGATATTGTCAATCTGACTCTGAAACAGGAAGTCATTGATGGATTTTAGTTCTGTCCCTGAGAGAAGAGAAACATGTATTACCTGCTGGGCCCACAGACCTTCACCCCACCACCACCCATCTCCCCTGCCTGTTGAGCTGTACACTGCTCTAGGCACCTGAGGCATTCAGAGGCACATCTTACCTGCTTGAGAAATGCTCTGAGCATTTGGATTTTGATTCACGTTTCCTGCAAAATATCAAACCAGTTCAAGGCAGCATGATTCACACTGGGTTTGTCTAAAAACTTAAGCAACACACTTAATAGAGCTAAGGGGGAATGCAACTCTAGCACAAAGACAGCACCCGGAAATTAACTGTCTGGTTGGAAAGTGGTTCTACAGTCAAAACATTGCCTTTTACTATTCATTTCTTTGCTTTCCTCTGTAGGATAGATCCACATCAAAGGACAAATGTTCTGTAGCATCCCTGCAAGCTAACGCCTAGGTTACTTTTGTACAGGAGGCGGCAGATGGATAGGTGCATAGAAACACTAACACAGTATTCATCATGCTGCAGAGACTAAAGGAGTGCAAAGCACCTTCTCACGCAGGCACTAAATGACCTTTGTAGACACAGTGCGAGGGAGCTGGAATGCGCATAGGCAAGTGAAGGGGGACAGTGTCTCCTGATGGCTTGAGGGAGAAAACCAAGGTTAGTTGGTGCCTGACTTTATTTTCTGTTTCCAGTATTTAATCCCCACCTCCCGTCTCACACTTCTGGAGCCTAAATCCTGACCTGCATTTCCTGATGGAAGTATTTAAGGGAGGGCCAGGTGGGAAGGAGGTAAGGAAAAAAGGATGGAGCACCTGAGAGAAGAGGGAAAAGGGAGAGGGAGAAGAGTGTGTCAAATTGCATCTTCCTATTAGTGACAATGACGAGTTCTTTACAGAAGGCAGCGGTTCCCCTCAAGGCACATCTGATGCCTAGTGGACAAGTAGAGAAGTAAACAATGAGCCAGGTTAGCTCCAGAGGGTCTAGAATCACAGCAGAATAAAAGGCAATATTCAAAAGAGAAATTCACTTGATGGTTAAGAGTCTGCCAAGGCAAAGGGCCTCACTGCTTACTAGTACAGCAATTCTGTTCTATTCAGGCTTTTAAGCCACACTCATCACTGTAGTATCTGTCTGCCATTTTAGTAATTTGGCACCCTTAATTCCCCTATCACTCAAAGTCAAATCTGAGAAATTGTTGAGAATACAGGAAAAAAAGACCTTTCCCCAGTGACCTACAGCATGACCTGCTGCCTCCTTTTAATGAAAGAGGAGGCAAGCTTCAGGTGGATCCAACAGTCAACATCCCCAATTTGTAGAACAGGTTGACAAATAAAGTTAGCAGGTGACAGAGCTAGGATATAAACAGCTAGTTCACAAAAGCCGCAGGGAGACGGGAGGCAATTACACTCTGAGGAAGCACCAGCCAGCTCAGAGTGTTAGGAACATCAATGGAAGTGGAAGCTTTCTTACCTCCTAGTATGGACACAAACCTCTCCAGCAAATACAGAATCTGTTTAATGTACATCAGGTTTTTTGCCTTCAGACGTTTCCTATGAGATAGTTGATGGTATTAAACACCAGAACGAATGCCCACAGGGACTATAACACACAGCTTCGTAAGTCCCAAACACAAGCCATCAAGCTGATTGGCCCAACTCCATTTCTTTATCGTGAGGAGATGAGAACTAAGACACAGTTTTCTCTTGGACTCACTCTTCCAGTTTGTGTGCAAGGGACAAACCCCAGAAAGCCCTGGCCAAGTGTTCACAGGTGCCAGAATCACTGCACTACCCAGCGATGTCACTTCAAGAGTCCAAGTGTTTAACAGTTTCTAGCACTGACTTTTTCCTCTCTCACCAGTTAGGGTTAATTTATTTATATTGCAGTAGTGCCCAAAGCCCAATCAGGATTTAGGCCCCACTGTGCTAGGTGCTAGACAAATACACAATTATTAGCCCTATATGCAACAATCACTGTAGAGCTGGTAAGCCTGATGCAAGCTTTGGATAGGGCTGATACATTGTACACATATTCTCCCTTGGAGGTCACCAGAATTCATTCTGTTTCAGCCACAAAGGCAGCTAGAACACGAAGGGTCAAAGCCTGGGAGAGATGCGAAAAAACTAAAAACTGGAGCTTATAGCATAGCATGTGGCTGCCGAAGTAGAAAGTAGAGGGAGAAACTGGGAAAGAATTTAAGAGAACGAGAAAGCCACACATGCTAAAATGTCACCCTGGCTGTCCAATACCAACCCTGGGAACAGGCTTACAAAGGTTCTAAACAGAGCTAGTAAACCAGCACGCTCCTTTCATCTGTCAGAGCATTAGTACAAATAGCCTTCCACATGGGAAAAGCGGGACAAGGCCCTGCAGATGAGAGAGAAATAAGCTCTGGCATCTCCTCTGCTTGCAGCTGTGGGGCTGTTCCTCTCTGGGATCCTCACCTGTATCGTTCCATGTACTGCAGCAGCTGGGAGTGGGCACAGCACAGCTACAACAGAAACAGAGCTGGTGTTAACAACTCCATAAATGCCGGGTTCCATTACAGGTGGCAAATCTACTAGATGCAGAACACAAGAGTGGTTAACAGAGCAGTGACCTCCAGTCCCTGACTCACCTGAGCGCCACGGACTTCGGCGCTGTAGATGCAGGTTATAGTGTCTATCAGATTGTGGGCCTCATCAATAATCACCACCTGATCCTTCAGTTTGATCCCAGAAGCACATCTGGTAGATTCATGCAGGAGCATCTGATAAGGCAACACCACCAGCTGTGGGAGAAACCCAAGCCTTAAATGACCTGACTATTTCAATAGTATGAATAGTGGGCGTTTACAAAGGGCTTTCCAAAGGCAGGTAAGTAATATTACTCCCTTTTGTTATGGATAGGAAACAGAGGTAGAAAGAGGCTAGGGGATTTGTTCAAGATCATACAGCAAGTGAACAGCTGAGCTGGTAAGAGAAGCCAGGTCTTCCAACTGCCTGTCCCATGCTCTAGCCACTGGATGTGTGTTCCCCCCCGAAGTATTTACATTAAAAACACTATTTTAGCAAGGAACCTGCAGATGAATGCCTTTCACAAATTCTCATGTTATTAGATGGTCACAGAGAAATTCTTCTCACAGAAACACACAGAGAGCAATGGAAATGGCTCAGATTGTCTTTGCGTGTCAAGGCTGGCACCAGAGTACCATTGCAAATACCACTTTGCACTTATAAACCACCTTTCATCCAAGTATCTCAAAATGCCTTACGAGCATTAAGTAAGCCTCACAATGTCCCTGGTAAGGGAGCTGGATATTATAACTGAGAGTAAACTGGGCACAGAGATTAAATGAATTGCACCACATCACAATGAAATAGTGGCATTGATCCCCAACCCTCCGCTCTAACCACTCTCCTCCTCTCCCACTCCTCCAAAGGGCTATATTTAGCTCTACCTTTTGGTTAGAGCTGGTAGGAAATTTGGTTTCTGCATTTCCATGGAAATGGGTCGGTTTTGCTGAAATTTTTCAATTTTCCTTCAGGAAAATGCAAACAAAATGTTTCATTGTGAGTCAATTTAACATTCATCCCAACATCAGCTTGAGTCACCATCGTGTGCCTCATGCCTCCCTTTTCCACATGGGCTGGGCTCCCCCACCAGACTACATCTCCCATGACACACCACATTCTCGCCTAGCCAAGCTGCCATGTGCATCCTGGGTTTCCCAGGAACGAGGTGCAACATGGAAGACATAGTCCTGACTCATGCTGGGAAATGTGAGTCTGAGGCATCTGAACTACCATGAGGCTCCATGGCAACCCAGGCAGCCAGAGAATAATGCGGAAACAACCAGAAACGTTTCATTTTTGGTCAACAAACAAACAAAATATTTCAATTCAGGAACACTGAAACAATTCATTCCAATCACAAACAGTGAAACAAAAACATTTAGATATTTCCAAATCTTTCAGAACTTTTCATTCTAAGACAAGTTTCAATATTTTGACTTTTCATCCCAAAATGGGACTGAAACCAAAGTTGAAATATAGGAATTTCCTGCAATGGAATTTCCAATCAGCTTTAATTTTGCCGATGTGTAGAAAACACTCAACTTTCCAGTTCTTGGTTGACATGGTCAGCAGGAAACCTGAGGAATACAGCATTACAGAGAACAGGCGAGTCAGTTTATTTTCTGGTGCCAGGAAGCTATTCCTCACCAACAGCCCTAGCTTCTCACCTGGGCAGCAGGAATGGCATAGCGACTCCCATAATACGGACAGGCTTTAGTCTCCTTGCCCAAGGCCACCAGCTGCTCAATATCTTTCACCTTGACTAGAACTTCGTCCCGGAGAAACTGCATTTGCTCATAGGAGTAAAATGGACACACAGCCCGGCTCACACGCCTTTTCTTCCCCTCCGATTCCTCTCCCTCACTCTTCTTCCCTGAGGACAAGAGGCAGAAAGGAACTGTGAGTATAAGCAACATTCACACGAGTCAGAACAATTACTTTGCATCTTTATAGCACCTTTCATCCATGGATCTCAAAGTAGATTTTGCAACACACCTGACCATCCACTACCTACCTATTGCATATATAGTGCCCAGTGCTGTACTATCGAGACACTGAATAGAGAATTAAGACTTGCACATAGTATTGTCCCCAGTGGATCCTGCTCTCACTATCATGAGATTTAGCCACTTGGAATTTTTTCTTCTTTTCTCACCCCCACACCATTGTGCAGCTTCTGATATTATCACAAGGTGGCTTCAACAGCAGACTGTAAAAATGCTCGTACTTGGGATCATTCTGATCACCTCTAGTAGCAGTAGGGAGTTACAAACACAAGGACCTTCCACTCAACGTCCTCCCGATTGCAGTGACAGATTCAAAGTACCCAATGAGCACAAGTGTCTCGAAGGATCTCCACACCTTTGTGAGGTGGGGGGAGGAGGGTTGTATCTGACTAGTTCTGCTTCTCTGAAGATATCATTCCCACAGGATTCTCACTCCTGGAGTCTAAGCTCCCACCAGTCTCCCCCTAGAACTCTCCAAGCTCTTAAAAGTATTTTTTAGCCCTTAAGGGCAGCCATAGCAGGGAGCAATACAAGCTACCACACCCTGAGCACTTGGCTTTTCTATTCTAGTCTATTCCATCCACGTGCCTGTACAAAGCCCATCACCGGAATATTGAGTGCACTTGGAACATTCAAGTCAGTTCCAATTACACAACTGGTGAAAATTTCCAGAATCAAAAATATGCTTCAAAACGAAGAGCAAAGTGCAAAAAGCATCGCTGAGGGCAATGCTTTCAAAAGTGCCTGAGTCCGACTGAATTTCAGTGAGACGTGGCCTCCTCGGTCACTTAGCTGCTTTTGAAAATATGGTCGCAGGTCAATAAAGATAATCTCTAAACTCCAAGGGAAGATGGAATGGGTGAGTGAGAATAACCAAAAGCATCACAGACCAAGAGCCTCATGGAGAAAATTATATGTCAGTAATGGACCTGATGGGAAGGCTAAGCTGAATTTTTAAAAGGCCACTCAACGGCTTTGAGTAACGCAGGGGAAGAGCCGGAGCAGCTAGTATTGGAGCTTGCTGCAGAAGCCACACCTTCATCACCAATCGTGGTCAAGAAGAATCAAACTGGAACATTCCAAGTGCAGCTGGTAAGCTCCAAGCCTGGCCCAGGACAGGAAGCAGGAACTCTGGCTCACAACCTACCCTACCACCACTGATGTTAAAGGCCAACGAGCTCAGGGAATTTCTTGTCAGTCTTGCTCTAGGGAGCTGAAAAGTGAGCATCTTGGTGGATGGTACTTTAGGGAAGGATTGTCCTCAGTGGCAGAGCTGGGAATAGATTTAGGGGAAAAAAAGATCTCCTGACTTCTAGCTCCTATTCTAGACAACTCTTTTCCAAATCTACAATACAACCTTCCACTCACTGAAGCATCACTCTGGATCGCCACTTGTCTGTTCACAAAGCTCCGAAGTCCAGCTGGAAATGATACCCTCTCCCTTTGAAACAAACATCCCCAAGACACAGCCTAGCTGGATTAGAGAGACAAGCGCCACTTCCCACATGGGAAACAGCAGCATTTGAAGAAAGCCCCTTGTACCCCCATAGGCTACTGTATCAGCAGCCAAAGTGCATTGCACTGGAAAAGTGTTCACACTGATTGCAGTAGCAGTTGCTTCCCCAGTAGTCCAAGTTAGGAAGTGTTCATACCATGTTTGTTCTTCTGCATTTCCACACAGCGGTCATTGATCAGCTGGACAGCCCCCAGATGGCGCACCTCCTCATTCACACAGAGGTTCTTAGAAAGAAACAGAATGAGAGAGGCTGTTATGTGCTCTCACTTTCATTTGTAAGGTATAATTTCCTTTATAACAGTCCGTCTAACACTAGCCCGAGAAATGGAAAGGTCTTCTACAGCAGGGGTTCTCAACCTTTTTCTTTCTGAGCACCCCTCAACATGCTAGAAAAACGCCACGGCCCTCCTCTGCCACAGCTCTTTTTCTGCATGTCCAGTAGATTAAAAGCCAGGGCTGGCATTAGGGGGTAGCAAGCAAGGCAACTGCCTCGGGCCCCACGCTACGCAAAGCTAAGTTGCTCGAGTTTCGGCTTCATCCCAGGACAGTGGAGCTCGGGCTTCAGCTGCAGGTTCGAGCGAGTCTAACACCGGCCGTACTTTCTGGTTTATTTTGGTGGACCCCCTGAAACCTGCTTGCAGCCCCCAGACCCCTGGTTGAGAACCACTGTTCTACAGTATATGGGATGCTGCCAGGTGTGCATACTTTGCCTTACTCAGGAACGAGCTAACAAATCTCCTGTACGCCACCATAAAGTTTATAAACCAGCAAGCAGACCAAAAAAAAAGAAAAAGGTGCCCCAAAGATGATCTATGCCTGCATCCATGGTTCTGTGCTTTTGTCATTTACCTCAGAACCTGCAGGGATACCAAACAAAGCAAGGAACTGCTCTCCTAACACTTCAGGTGTTTGTGATGTCCCCAAAGTAGAAGAGGAAAGCAAGGTTCTTGAACGTATGACAAGGGTGGCCAAAGAACAGTCCATGGGCCAAACGTGGCCCCTGGATGCTCTAATTTTTAATACAGAGGTTCACCCCTGGAGATTACAGGTTCCAGCACTTGATCCAAGTATGACACAGAGGCCCACAGTTGGTTCATTACACTGTGTCAGCAACTCTTGTCTGACTGGACATACTCACTACACCTAACACACTGTTGTCATAGTCTGTATCTAAAAAGTATCATATAAAGTATCATAAGCGAACTAGTAACACACTGGTCGTTAATTTGGGTGATGTATGACAAGTTATACATATGTGCTGGAAATATGTTTTTAAGATGTGTTTGGCAGATAAAGCTTAAGTCACCCCCACCTCAGACAAAGGAATGTGGTCCCTCCTGCTTTAATGAGTCTCCAACTTAAGTTGAGCAAAGAGGGACAGTGAAAATACATTTACATAAAAGGTAAACAAAGCCATCAAACTAGTAAGCGAGAAGACAGTCACGTCGGGGGGGGGGGGAAGAGGGGAGACTGCAAAAATTAACATGGCATCAGCTCCCTGGGTGGGCACAGCAAGCTGAGCCCCAAGAAGGGCTTCCCAACTTTGAATACAAAGACAAAACTTTGAGGATATAAGCAGAGAGAAAAAAAGCCATTCTGGCATCCTTCACTTGGGGGACTAACAGGGATAGAGCTCTTGAAGTCACAGAATAGTGGATCCTTCAGCCAAGGGGGTTGAAGTCTCTGGGAACAGAGTACAGGTGAGACACCTGCATAGGCAAAGATTGTAACTTGCTGAAATTAAGTTTGAGTCCTAGAAGCATTTATTTGTTGGTAATCATTTCTATCCCTATTCCTTATACTTGGTATCGCTTAAACCTATGCCACAAGTTAATAAACTTGTTTTACTTTTATCATAAACCAACTAATTGCTTTTCACCGAGGAGGGGGGTTTGTCAACCCCAGTTAGGTTAGTAAGATGCTGTGTACTTTTAAAGGAGCAGCAAACTTGATAAGATTTTGTGGGATGTCTCTGCAGAACTCGGGAATTGGAGTTCATTGAATGTTACCTGCTAGGCAAGGTTTGGGCTGGCAGAGTCCCGAAGAGTTTGCTGGCAAGGCAGACAAGCTGGCATGTCAGGGAGCTGACACACTGCTTAGCAGCAGCAAAGCTCTCACTTGCTGAGGCTCAGAGGGGTAACACAGTGGCTCACAGTCCTGGGAACCTCAGCAGGTTGTCACACCAATCTCATGGTGGGGCATAAGGCACCACCACAATGCCAAATTAAAAAGATTAGGGTAGCTAGTATTTTGGCAACCTAAGCTAAGCCCACCCATCGCTAATGTCACTTTCAGAGGAGCAAAATCTGGGCACCCGAGGAAGTGAGTCTCTAATATTTTTACTAGATGTTTACTAGTGACATAGCTGTCATACCCACACACATCTCCCGGGATTTCAAGAAGGACTGTTGTATTTGTAAGACAGCATTTCAGTTCCCCTGGGAATCACCTCAGAGTGCTGCATACCTGCCTGGACCCCAGTGACACCAGCCGTATCTTCTCACCAAAAGGGCTCTTCTGAACTTCATGCACAAACTGAGCCAGCTGGGAGTGTGTGCGGCTGCAGTAGTAAATCTGTGATGAAAAAGGAAGATTGGAGGAACTCAAGGAGGGCTGTCTGCCTACCCTGCTATGAGAGAATCTGGATGGGAAAGACCCTCAAAACCTGGACAGGAGGGACTTTGAGACAGACTCATGGGACGCTTGAAGACCCCATGACCGCACACAGGACCATCTTTTGGCTGTCAAATATCCTGAGAGAAATAAGGCACTGCGTGACTCAGTAGGAGGGGTCAACCTCTGGAACTAGCATCCCACCTTTGAGGACCAAACCTGACAGCTGGCACACTGTTAGCAAGTTACCTACAATACAGCCTAGCAGTGAAAGGGGACATCTGTGTCTCCCAATCTAACCAAGGAGTCAATGTGCGACTGGATTTCAAGTAGCCCCCACAAGGTGCTGGGACATTTAAGAAAGCATTTCCTGCCTTGTGTTTCAGGTGTGCCGTTCAAAGGCTGAACCTTGTCAGGGGCTAGCAGATTGTAGCATTGTCTCTTACTAATAGGAGTAAAGCAGAGGAAAAAAACCTGCTAAGATAAATTTTAAGAGACTCTTGCCATTTCTCCCAAGTTTCAGAGAGACTCTCCAGGGGACACAGCAGCATGCTCCACCAGTGCAGGCACTAGAGAACCAAGTGGCAAGCATGCAGTGGCTCTTAAAAGTAAGAAATGGCCATTTCCAGTAGTGTGCGTTTACAGTGACTTCAGGGAAAAAATCTTAGTGATCTCAGCAGAGTAAGCTGCCTAAACAGCCAGTATAATTCAAAAGGAGATGGTGGCGGAGATCCCCTTAGCCGGGCAATGGCATCCACAAAGCTGCTTTTGACAGGTTGAGGAGTAATCCAGATACCCGGTTCTTAGATCCCACTGTCCCATATCACACTGTAGCTCTAAGGAAACCTTAATTCTTCTTTTACACACATTGTAAAGGGGAAGTGTTAGAGGCCCCTCCACATCTTACCTTGGTCACATGCTCCTCCTCCAAATCATCATCATCCTCCTCCTCCAACCTGTGGGGGTGGGGAAAACAAAACTGTTTTCTTTCAGCAGCTTCCCAAAAGATTTGTCTCATATACAGAGCTCACCCATGACTTCAAGTGAGATGGCAGCATCCGCTCAGGAAAAACCTCAGTCTCCTGAACCGTTAGCTGTGTTAAAGTCAGATTTCTAGAAGTGGCCTGTAAGTCTGATGAACAGCAATCAGGGGTCAAACATGCACTTTTTAGCAATTATGACTCCAGTATCCAGCACAAACCTGAGCATTCTTTGGCATTCTCTTTATTAGGCACTTTACAGAGTTTATGAGGATTTATTAGCTCATGAGCCCCTGCTAATCAGTTCCACAATACTCCTTGCTACACTGTTTAAAATGAAACCTCAAACACATCCGTATGCGCACAAAGCAGAGACAGAGGTCAGGCGAGCCAAAAATCTAATACACGAGAGTCTCCAAAAGGTGTTAAAATAAACCAGAGTGCATGGCTGAGTGGTGCAGGCATTAAGTTTTAAACAGAATTTGATGCAGTTTGCTGTGTGTTTGAGCCTTTAGGATGAAGCTGAGGTACTATCTGCTCTCTGTGTTCAGTAAAGAATCAAAGGTATTTTGGGGCAAGTAGGTATTTGCCCTAGTGTCCTTGACTAAAATCATCTACTCCCCATACTACTGCATAACAACATACACTCCAGGTGCGTGCCTGGTTACCCCAGAAGTGACTGCATTTTAGTGCTGGGTAAAGCAATTCCATTTACATGTAGTTTAATAAGTGCTTTGGATTTTTCGGATGGAAAGTGCTATACAAGTATTTATTATACTTGCTGGTAAATCCAAATTTTAAGTGTGTTTTGTTTTTCCCTGGTAACACATGCTTTAAGCTGAAATCCAGATGCCAAAGGAACAACTGTGTTTATATGAGAGAGAGAGAGAGAGACAGACAGAGACAGACTGTGTGGTTTTTATGCAGAGGTTCAGTGTCCTTCAAGATGTTCATGTCTTCTTTTTAAATGCTAGATTCTCAAAAGCTGTCAGTACTAATCTGCAGGATTAACATCTTTTACTGACACCCTGAGGAGTATTTTGCTTCTCTGATGTAAGGAATTTGAACTCAAGTCATTTACCCAGCACTCAGAGGGTTTATGTGGGGAAACAGGCCTGGATGAAGTAAATGGCTCTACACATTCCAGATAAGATGCACTTCTTCAGATCGGAGTTACAGGCCACAGTGCTGTCAGCATGAAGCTGATCCGGCTGAACAAAAGCCTTCGGGGTTCATGTAATTACATGGAAATACAGAATCTGCCTTCCAAGGACCAAATAGGGGAGAAACTCCAGATTTATGTGATACATTTAGATCTAAAAGAAGGATGCCTGAGTTTCCACAAAAGAATCCCAGGAGCCAGCAAAGCCGAACCCCCCCCACCATCATTATCACTATCTGAACGCGATACAAGCAGCAAGATCACCCACTCCCAACCCTTACCCCAATCCCACTTTCTTCTCCTCATCACTCTCATACTCGGCAAGGATCAGCTCCTCCTCCTCGTGATCCAGCTGCTCTAGAACATCTGACCCTAACTCCGTCGACAAGATCTCCTTACTGAGCTGGAGCAGCCGCTGTGTCTCATCATCTTCAAGCCTCTGAAATTAACACAAAGGACTATCATTCACCCAAAGACAGAGAGCACCACTCCGTACAACCGACAGTTCGGAGGGCAGCACCATCTCCTACAAAATGGAGGGAACAGGATTCATTCACATCCCCAGCAGAACAGAGAGGTACATGACCAATGGTCTCTGGAACTGCTCAGCACCACAGGATGCAGTCAGTACAAGAAAGACAATCCAGATGTGCTTGTGCAGTGAACAGATGTGCAAAAACAAGTACTTATGTGCAGAACTGCCCATAAGTAACCAACATACCAGATCATACCAGTGGTCCGTCCAGTCCATCATCCTATCTGACAGGGGCCAGTACAAGACAGTGTACTGTACAAGTGTGCAAAAAAGCATGTAGTAGATCATAAACTGTCCATAAACGAATTTTCTCCTAGCTCCAAGCTGCTAGTGGTTGATTTATGTCCTGAAGCATATCCCATATCCTTATATCCCTTACAGCTTAAAAAACAAAAAAACATTGTGATGTTCTTATTCCTAGAAGTATCTAACCCCTTTTATGGATTCTATTAAAATCATCATCAATAATATCTTATGGAAGTAAGTTCCATGGTTTAATTTTGTGCTCTGTAAAAAAGGGGGCTTTTATCAGTTTTAAATTAATCACCTTTCCATGTCATTGAATGCCCCCTTGTTCTTGTGTCATGAAAAAGGGAAAACACAGCACCTGATCCACCTTCTCTAGATTATTCATTATTTTGTATAACTCCACCTTATTGTTATTTGTCTCTTCTCTAAACTAAGCAGTTCCATTTTTTTTCAGTCTCTCCTTACATGGAAATTTTTCATTATACCTAATTATTTTTTGTCTCTGCACCCTTTTTAGTTCAGCTGTATCCTTTGAGATGGTGTGACCAGAACTGAATACGTATTCCAGGTGAAGGCATGCTAACAATTTATATAATAGCATATTTTCCTAATAGGTAACTGAACACAGAATTGCCTGCTCAGGCACACAGAATGAGTGTACGCAAATTTCAGCAGGTGTCTCTGAAACTTTGGCCCACAGCATAACCAGATGCATAACTAGATGCTCAGAATTGGGAGAGCTAAGACCAGCCCCCCCCGCCAGCCCTCTTCTTAGTGAGCAAAAATAAAATCTACTGTCTTTATTCAGAAAGCATGGCCATTTCCAAAACACATTAACATATCACTGTGCGAAGCACAACAATAGATGTAATTGTTCCCCAAAGGGGAACCTAACTAAATAAATAAAATTAAAAAAAAACTCAGATTAATTTCATGGAGCTGTTTTTCAACCAAATAACAAAGCTTTTTGAAAACACTAGAAGTAGACATACAGGATGACAACAGAAGGGAGTATAGTCCACCAAAGTACACCTTCTTCCTCTCCAGGCATACAAATGCAATCACAGGAAATATTCCATATCAAAATCACATTTCACACCCATATCTTGAGAGCTTCCAAAACAAACACAGACAGAAACTTGTGACCCACAATCCAAGACTTTAACACCCCAATCTTGCAAACATTTACACACACAAGTAGTCCCAATGACTTCAACAAGAATATTCATGAGAGTAAAGGCCCACATATGAACAAGCGATAGCAGGACCTGAACCTCTAGTACAGAAACTCCTCTGCTCTCTGGGATAACTCACCTTTCTTTTTGATGCATATTTGAGTTGCACGTTATGGCGAATTTTCTCAAGACGATCCTCTCGTTTCTTCCTCCTGATTTGCTCTTCCTGAAATGAAAGGTGTATATAGGTCAATTTACTAATTTAGGCTTAGAACCCAAACAGCATTCCCCTCTAGGCTCCCCAATCTCCTTTCATCCTGAAGGCCTGCTCCCCCTCCTGTGCCCCTAATCTCTGCACCCTCTTCAGTCCTAAGCCCTGCATCCCCCTCCTGCGCCCACATGGGGAAACTGACCTTGATGCACGAAGCAGCTGGCATTGCTGCTCGCTCCCCCAGAACTGCTGCTGCTCTGCCCCGCACACTCCTAGGGGGCTGTGAGGGGGGGGGGGAGCAAGGAGCAAAATCAGGGCTCCCTGCATCCAGGTCACTTTCCCCACCTGGGCTGCATAAGGAGATGGCATGGGAGCAGCAGCTCCTGATGCCGAACAGCACAGCACAAGTGGGGAAAGTGACCTGGATGCAGGGAGTGAGTGAGTGTGAGTGTAAAAACAGCTAACAAAAACCAAAGCTGGCCAAAACACCAGCCATGCGCTGCTCCCACTAAAAGGGAACCATCAGACTCTCTCATCCTTCACATTTCTCATATGAGCTACCAGGGCTTGAATTAAATTTTTGTATGAAATTGGGGTGAATTTAAAAACTGTTTAAAACATTTTAAAAATAAAAAAATATGAAGAACTTTAATACATTTTATTTACAGTATCAATATTCATAATAGACTTGTTAGTCCTTCCCCCCCAGGCAGAGAGGCAGAGACTATGATCAAGACCAGCTGTGCCCCCCACAAGACCAGGCCAACCCTCCAAATTGGACCTGACCCACATCCCTCCCCAGACCAACCCCCTTGAACTGGACCAGACCCACATCCCCCCCACACCAAACTGGACCCAACCCACATCCCTCCCCAGACCAGGGTGCTGGTGGGGGGATGGGATGGGGGAACTGGGGAAGGTCCAGTTTCCCCCAGGGGTGCTGGCAGGGGGATGGGCAGGGGGCACTGGTGGGAGGATGGGGTGAAGGACTCCAGGTGCTCTGTGGGGCTCATGCCGAGGGAGCTTACCTTGAGCAAGGAGCACCCACTGGTCGGGGTGTCTGTCCACTGGGTGCCGGTGCCACCTCCTGCCCAGCATGGTCCGGGACCCCCACACTCCCCGGCCTCCGCATTTGAATAATGGCAGGGCCGGGGCGGGCACACGGGGGGAGCTGCATGTGCAGCACCCTCCCACCAGCGCTTCTCCAGGCCTGGCAGGGGCCTGAGAGCCCAGGGAGGTGGAGGTCGCGCCACAGGAGAGCCCAGCTGTTTGCGGCAGCTAGAAACCCACCAGGCCTGCCGCCGAGCCTCCCCCCCACCCTTGCTCCACCAAGTCGTACGAGCCTCTGGGGGGAGGAGGTGGGGCCACAGCAGCTGAGGGCTCCTCTCAGCCCTCTTCACTGGCTGGAGCCCTCAGCTGGTGGCCAGCTGGCTGAGAGGAGCAAGTGGGTGGGGGGAGAGGAGGGGAGTGGGGAGGGAGAAGGCAGCCCTGGGCCTGCGGGCGAGAGGAGCGGGTGCGGGGGATGCTGGGCCAGGGGAGGGAAAGGAAGCAGCACCACAGCCGCTTAGTCGCAGTGCGCAAGTGGAGCGCTGGGCCAGCGCACGGCACCCAATTTGGTGGGCCGCCCTGCGCAACCGCCCCGGCTGCCCACGCCAAAGGCCGGCCCTGCTTATACCTCCAACTGCCAGCAGTCAGCAGCTGGCCATATAACAGATGGCTAAGGCACCTCCAGAATCAGGGAATTCTGATGATTTGAGGGGCATCTGCTGATTTAGATGTTTTTCTAGACCAGTAGTTCTCAACTCGCAGGCCACTTGCGGCCCATCAGCACACAACTGCGGCCCATGTGACATCCTCAGGGCCATACAGGTAGTATATATATTGTGTGGATGCAGCCCAAATAACACTTAGAGAGCTTCATATGCAGATCACGATGGTAAAGGGGTTGAGAACCACTGCTGTAGACTCTATGCTTTTGTTCTCTCTCACACATGAACAGTTTCTGAGCTTTCTGGCTGTGAAGAGCCATGTGACCATTAATCTCGGTCATCTAGTGACACAACCAGACATTGGTGCAGAGAGGGTTTGGGAATCCTCCCATTTTTAATATGGGATTACCTTTGAGAGCAGTTTATGGCCACTATGTGCCAATCTTGTTTCATTGCAGATAGTCACACCAGAAACATCCAGCTAATGGTTTAAACCATTGGAGCTGAATGTCCCTCTCAGCTGCCATTGTCCCAGCTCACTGAGCGGATGTTCTCCAGAAATACAGCTGAAAGTTATGAACATGTAAATAGCTGCATGTCCTGTCTAACATTCTTTTGATTATTAGTATAATTGGGACACTTGCTACAGTCCTTAGACACAAGAGTAAAAGTATCATTTACATATGGCCAGCTACAAGTGCTTCGCAGATCAGAACATTTGACTTTACAAAGTTCCCTGTTCCCACTATGCCATCCATTGTTTTCCTTACAGACTGCTACTGATCCTGACTATAAAGGAGCATTTCCCGACCTTTAGTCTGTCCACCATGGCCTGCTCTTCTTTTTTCTGCATAAACTCAGTGATCCAATCTAGCTCCCCTGCTGAGCCCTGGCAGTTTGAGGCCTCCGCGCTGCATGATGTAGGCTGTTGTTGCTTGTCTTGTCCATTATGTTCATCTGCAAGGAGGCGGGCCTCCTCCTGCTTCTTTTTTTCTTCAAAATCTCTGAGCCAAGAGAGTGCTCCACAGATAAGACTCAAGGATTTTCCCTGCAATTAAAAATAAAGAACAAAAATATCCAAAAACACATGGTGGAAATGGGAGTTATCACATCCCTTAAAATAATCCCAATAGCAAAACATATTTTGTTATGTTAAAAATGCCTCTGTGGATCTCAGGTTATGCTTGAAACAACAAAAGATTTTATTCAAAATCACTGGATGCCATAGAGCAGGGGTCAGGAACCTTTCAGAAGTGGTGTGCCGAGTCTTCATTTATTCTAATTTAAGGTTTCGTGTGCCAGTAATACATTTTAACGTTTTTAGAAGGTCTCTTTCTATAAGTCTATAATATATAACTAAACTATTGTTGTATGTAAAGTAAATAAGGTTTTTAAAATGTTTAAGAAGTTTCATTTAAAATTAAATTAAAATGCAGAGCCCCCCGGACCGGTGGCCAGGACCCGGGCAGTGTGAGTGCCACTGAAAATCAGCTCGCGTGCTGCCTTTGGCATGCGTGCCATAGGTTGCCTACACCTGCCATAGAGGTTGCACAAGATAAAGGCTTTTGCCTCTGATTTGTGCTGGTGTTGTAATAAGAAATAGGAACCCTCAGGCATATGCTATGGGACAGTGCAACAGTCAGGCAGCTGTGGAAAGAGGTAGACACGAGTGAAAACAGTGCTCAGCTTCAGCAGCAAAACCTCAACCAAAAAGCGTATCCTACATTATTTATATGCTAAGCTGTGTTAACTCCACCACAAAGTTTTTGGTTCTTCAGGACTGCAATGATCACTAAGTGCGTGATTTTTCAAAAATGGAGGAGTACACTTATGTCTACAATAGAGCAGTGGTACTCAGACCTGTCTGAGTTAGCAGCCAAAGAAAGAATATCTTATCACCATAGAGAGCAATTATATGAATCTGAAGAAATCTGGACCCTGTTTCTAGATATGTTTGGATAAAAAAAAAAAATGCTGAGATCACTCAAAGAATGCCAGACCTCCATTCAACTCCTCCTCTCTTTCCCTCCCCCCAATTACCTCCTTCCCTCCTCTCCCTATTCATGTATTTCTTCTTCTATTTTATTATTGTTACCTCCATCCTAACATGTTATGTCTATATAGTGTTGCCTGGTTTTGTATTGTCTGGTCTTGTATTGTCTGGTCTGACTTTTTGACAAACTGTAAAATTGTGTAATTGCATAAATTCTACTGGATATCTGAAGCACATGGTATTCAAGCATGTACATATACAGGCTGCAAGTCATTTATCTTTTTTGTACTTTTCGTCTGTTTCTCCAAGAAAATCAATTTAAAAAATAATCACAGAAAACCCTCAAGAGGAAACACATTGATTCAAAACTAGATGTATTAATACAAGTTTCACAAGAAGGATTTCCATAAGGAAGAGGCACTAGCCCACTGCTAGACAACAAGTCCCAGAGATGTGGCTCAGTAGTATTTGCAATGAGAACAACACAATCGTATAGCATACAGACAGGGGCTATTGCTTCCATACAGTGTGATTTATTCTTTTTAATATACAACTCAAATTTCCACTGACAGTTTTAAGATACTACAGTATATCATATTACTAGTACAACTTTTGAAGTCTGCTACCTACCCTATGACCTATATCAGAATTACTGCTTTCCAGGTTTCTCCAGGCCATTGACTGACTAGTGTTGTTATTCCCCGGCCTAGATGTAGTTTGTCCAGACAGAATCTTTTTATTGCCAGCATGTTTCTCATATTTTTGTTTGTACCTTTTCTCCATGATAATTATAAGCTAAAGGTGGCTGTCAACAGCTCTAGGCTCCCTGACAACTCAATAATTCTGGATCCAAACAGGATTGAAAGGGATACTGAAGCAACTTGTAGTGGGGGTACGGTTAACTGCAGTCTCTTCAATATCCAAATGCAGGACAAGCTCAGCCACACGCAGCTCTCGCTTACCGTCCCTGTAGGACTCTCAAAGATCCCGACTTTGCCAGCCTCCAGAACATCATACAGCTTGGCCATGAAATCCTCTTGGATGGAGTAAGGGGTGTAAGGAAATGGGAAATTAACCCTGCCCTTCCCCTGAGCTGCACCAGCCGCCTCCTGGCATAGAAAACACATTCAATGTGAAGTGTGCTAACACAGCTCTGCATGCCTCTCGTTACCTCTGCCAGCTCTCGAGCCTGACCCCCCCTCTCCCCCCCGCCAGCCCCTCTGCCAGCCCCCGATGCAGCCCCAGGACCAGT